TAAGTAATATACACCATAAAAATGTAACTTTTATATTATATTATTTAAGATACTTTTAATTAAGCCTTTTTTAAATGCATGATTTGTAATCATGAAAAGTAAAAAATAAATTACTTGTTACAAGTTAGAAATAAAAGTGATCGATATTTTGATTCAAAATGTATAATTTGAAATCATAAAAACTAAAAACAAATTACATATTACAACAATTGAAAGTGATAGATATTGGCAATGCCATAATTTTAATTTTGATTATAAACGAGTGAGAATATACATATCATTATTAAAAGGTGGTTTATATATATATACCAAGTATATCAAATGTATTTAGTTTCATGCATGTTTACTGCTTCAAAATCGCACTTTCATTCTGAGATAAATATATTTTATGTTTGGTCGAAATAAATAACCCTCGAAGGAAAGGAAAAAAATTAGAGATCATTGATTGGTTGACTGAGATAGATGAAGAATATTTCATACCTCAACTTTTGTTTGTCTACTAGACAGAAGTTTTAGCTTTTGTCTATAAGACATAATATATGATCAATTGAGCAGGTTCATTGTATTGAAATATCTTAATCTTCTGTCTTATAGATATAAGTTCTAGCTTTTACGTAAAAGGCAGAATTTGTGATCAGTTGAGTAACTTCATTATCTTGAAATATCTTGTGTCCACAATTTACACTCGATAGACAACAAAAACTTTATGTTCCGAATTTTCTAATTCAAAGATTTTTTTTTTCTTTAAATATTTAATAGCACTAAAAATTCAAGACCTCTCCGCCTATAAAGGTCATTCGTGAACTTAACCCGACCTTTTCATATTTAAGCCTTTTCCTTTCTGTCAAATCTATAGACATGCAATAAAACGAAAAGAGTTTTTCTTTTTATCCTTATCTAGAAGCTCTCATCTTTGTTTTCTTAAGAATTTAAACTCAAAATGAAAAGTAGGACTACTTACATTCTGAGCAACTCCATCTTCTTGAGGGAGTAATAGCTAAATTGACCCTAGGTTGATTTTGATCATAAGACCTAGTCATGTCCACACATTTCTCATCACCAATAAATGGCGGTGATACATTATACAAGTCAAACAACTACTTTTCAAATAAATGTACTTGTCCCAAACGTTATAAATTTATTATTTTGAGATATTTCATTTTATTTTACATATCAAACAATCTGTAATATACGTTTGGTCATATTTCATTTTGAAAATACGAAAAAAAAGGTTTTTATTTTTTATTAAAATGAAAAAAAGATATTTAAAAATTGAAGTTGTGTTTGGCCATGAAATAAATTAGAGTTGTTTTT